AATTGAGAGTAGCCATAAACAATTTATAAGGAGAGTATATAATATGTAAAACAGTAGATGGAACAAAATGAAATGAGAAAATAAAAGAAAACAATAAAGCAATAAAGGAAACAAACACACAAAAATTTAACAAATAAAAGGCAAGAAAGGAAAAATAAATGGAGTATGTAAAATTAGAACAAAGAGAAAGCAAGTTACATGGTAAGAAAAAATAATTCATATGGGTCATTAATTTTAATAAAATGTAAATAAGCTCACCTGTTAAAAGAATGAGATTGTAGGGATAGATTAAAACACAAAATCCAGTTGGTAAGTTGTTATAAAAGACAAACCTAAACCATAAAGACACTGAAAGGTTGAAAGCACAAAGGTAGAAAAAAGTATACTAGAAAAAGATTTATCAAATGTGTTTTGGTGGCTGTCCAGTGCAGGGATCGGAACCCTCGACCTTGGTGTTACGTTAACACCGTGGTCAAACCAACTGAGCTAACCAGCCAGCCCCAATAGTTATCAAATGAAAAGGTGGAATATCTATATTACTATCACATAAATTAGACTTCAAGATAAAATGTAATATTATGGATAAAGTAAGATGATACAAAAAATAGAAGGTTTAATTTACCAGGTATATCATTTTACATGTGTATTCCCCAAATAAAATAGCCATTAAATATATAAAGAAAAATTGACAGGACTACAGAGATAATTTGAATATTTGCAAAAATTAACTATGTCTTAAGCCATAAAACACGTCTCAAAATGTTTGAGGAAAGAATAGAATCAATACAGGCAATATTCTCTGACCAATATGCAATTAAATTAGAGGCTAATAACAGAGAGATAAATTGAAATAACTCTGAAGTTTGTAAATTTCAAAAGCACACATCTCAATAATCTATGTGCCAAAGAAGAAATAGTAATGGAAAATTAAGAAATTCTTAGAACTAAGCTGTAATGAACAATTTACTTATCAGCATTTGTAGAATAGAACTAAGGGTAGAGACAACAGGGAAATTTACTGCTTAAGTGTATATGTTAGAAAGGAAGAAAGGCTGAAAACTAATGAGTTGATATCCATATAAGTTAAAAAAGAAAAAAAAGAACAAAAAATAGAGGAAAAATAAGGAAAAAATTGTGTAAAGGAAACAGAGTCAGCAGCAAAGGCAAAAGTTGGCTCTTTGAAAGGACAAATAAAGAAAATTCTGGTAAAGCTGATCAATAAAAAGAAACTAGACATAAGAAAAAGAACAAAAAATAGAGGAAAAATAAGGAAAAAATTGTGTAAAGGAAACAGAGTCAGCAGCAAAGGCAAAAGTTGGCTATTTGAAAGGACAAATAAAGAAAATTCTGGTAAAGCTGATCAATAAAAAGAAACTAGACATAAATAATACTAGAATGGTTTAGAAGAGATTTAAAAAGAGAATACTAAAAGCTTTTATGCCAATAAAGTTAAAAACTTGAATAAAATGGAAAAGTTCTAGAAGATTATAACTTAACAAATTTAAGAAGAAATAAAAAACCTGAATAATCCAATAACAATTAAAGAAGTTGAATCAATATTTTTAAATCTTCACATGCACACATGTACACACACACAAAAAAACCCCTATAAAACCAGGCTTGAATGATTTCACAGGCAAGCATAGGCATACTTTCAAGGAATAGATTATTCTAGTCTGAAACAGTTTTTTCCCAAGAATATTCCAAAATTAGGGGGGTTACTCTCCGACTCAGTCTGTAATGCAAATACAACCTTAGTACCAAACCATAAAAGAACAACACAAGAAAGGAAAATAAAAAATCACCCAGAATTACTTATTATTAAATTACAACTTATTCATGAACATAGATGTAAAAATCATAAATAAAATATTAGGAAGTCAAATCTCTCAGTGGGTAAAATGACAATAACTCATAACCAAGTTTGTTAATCTCAGGAACAAGATTAACAAGATTAAGAGTAGTTTAAGAAGATAAAATTATCATAAAGAAAGGAGAAGCAAAGGAGGAGGGAGACAGAAGGAAAGTGAGGGGTTGGTGGAGGAGAGAGAGAATGAAAAAGAGATGGAGGAAGGGAGGAAAGAACTGAAAAGGAAGAAATAAACTCCATCTCTGTCTATCTGTCTACCTACCTGTCTATTTATCTACATGCATGAAATTAGATGTAGATGATGGTCTACATAGAGAATGCAATAAAGTAGTTAAGTACAAATAAATATCCCAAAATTAATTGCATTTTTACAATGTGATGACAAACATAAAATGTAACTTTAAATATTGATATTATTTACAATAGTAAAAAACATACATGTTATCTAGAAATAAATTTAAGATATTAAAACTTTTATGGAGAAAAGTATCAAACTTTATTGAAAGACATTAAAGAAGGCCTTTAAAAGCATGGTGATACACCATAATCACGTGTAGGAAGACTTAATATCTTATAAGTGACAATTTTTCCTAATATTAATCTAAACAGTCATTGCAATTCCAAACAAAATTATACCAAGGATTTTTTCAAGGAGTTTAATAGGCTGATTCTAAAATTTATCCATAAAGGTCCAAAATAGGCAAGATACTCCTGTAAGAAATAAGGTAGAGGTATTTTCTTATGATATATCAAGACTTATTTTAAAGTTCTAGTAATTAAGATGGTATAGCATTGGTGCAGTGTAGATCAAAAGGACAGTGGAATATAAAAGAGCTTAGACACAAGGCCATGCAAAATAGTTACTTGAGATATGAGAAAGGTAGTTCTACAAAGGAAAGGAGAAAAGGTGGTCCATTCAGTAAATGGTTCTGGAACAATTCTTTTTATCAATGTGGGTAAAAACAATTATGCCATTGGATAAAAACAAATTGAGTCCCTGATTCATACCATACATAAATATCAATACCAAATAGATCAAAGACTGTGATGTACAGAGCAAAACTATAAAACTTTTAGAAGAAAACATAGGAGAACATTTTTATGATCTCAGAATAAAAAAAGATTACAGGGAAATGAAAACATAAATTGTAGTATATTTATACAATGGAATATTGTACACTAGTAAAAACTAATAAACTACAGCTACACATAACATGGTGATTTTTAGAAATGTCAAGTTAGTGTAAAAGAGCAAATAGCAAAAGACTACTTAAAGAGTGATACAATTTGTTTAAAATCCAAAAACAACCAAAAATTAAACAATATATTGTTGGGAGATATGTATGCTGATGATAAAATTAATTTTAAAAAACAAAAGAAATAATAAACACAAAATTCAGATTAATGGTCACCTCTGGGCACAGGAAAGTAGGGATAAGGAAGGATCTACCAAGCAGATGCAACAGCATTGGCTATGTCCTTTTTTCTTCAGTCTACAACTGTTTGATTTATTATTATGCTTAACAAATTACATTCATGTTACATATATTATCTATTAATTGTGAATATGACATAGCTTTTAAAATCAAAATATCAAATTTTAAAAAAATATTTCTTCTCATTATACAAAGACTAATTTAATTATACTTGGAATTCTCCAAAATCTAAGTGGGGGGTTATAGGGCAGAGAGATGGGTGGGAGGTTCGACTGATAATGAGTTTCCCGTCACTGGAATTGTTCAAGCACAGGTGGAAAATCCCTTTTAAATTAATGTGAATATTTTAAAGAAAACTTAAGCATTAGTTGGTTGATTGAATTAAGTTCCTTTTCCATCTGAAGACTATGATTCCGAGGACCCATTGTTGAATGAACTAATTTAACTGCTCATGTTAGCCAAAATTGTTAACAGTATGGAGTCCATAAAGAAACTGCCCTTATCTTCCAATCTCAAAATCGGAATGAGTCAGTTGCTCCCAGAAAAAGCTCGGGGACAACCGCACCCCAAAATTCACTTGGTTCTGTTTTTCCCTTGGTAATTTAATCCTTTCATTACTTATCATTTTACCTTGGTGAGGCAGGGGAGATGGAGGAGGGGTGGGATAGATACACATATATCTGCATTTTCACAAAACTCAATTTTATGCAACTAGTTATCTAAAGATGGTGTTGAAAATTTTAGCAGGTAATAAGTTGTAGGCAGGATCTTAGAAAATATTCTGCCTTTAATCTTCATGGTTTCTGGAGTTGAAAGTTGAAAGCCACTTTACTAAGAGTGTTGCCAAACGCTCCTCAGAGCCCTCACAATCAAGGAGATTGGGAATGCGAACAAAAGTGCCAGGGCTGTCACCCACTGGGAACATTTGAAGCTAAGTTAAAAGCATAGATTAAATATATTAATTTGTGACAACTGCCAAAAGGCAAGGGCAAACTTCAGAGCTTGAAAATGAGAGAAGCCAGCAAGGATACGCATGAGGAGGTAGACCTGCTGGCATTTACAAGTCCCCACTGGAAACATAGCCCATTCCTTGGATCACTCAGGTTAGTCAATTATCTCTGCAGATAACCCTATCAGAAGAGCCTTGCACCCGTGGAGATCTGCCTAGGGCTTGCTAACCCACCTGTAGGTTTCTGAGTAATGCCATTTTTTATTAATTACAGAAAGAGGATCAATGACTGAAACCAAGAAGATCTGGTTTCATATCAGATAAAGGCTGGAGGAAGAAGTTGAAGCTGAAGACTGAAAATAGATCCCCTAGGCTTCACTTATCAGTACGCCTCCTAGCAATGTGTCATATTTTGGGTTGTGTCTTTTGGGGGGAAAGTCAATCATGTTCGCTCTGTTAAGAAGAGAATGGTGATCAGCAGGAACACTTCTGCTCGGAAATAATGTAAACTACTCCAAACATGCAGCAAGGTTTTATTTGCTGTCTTGCTTGGGTCAAAGTGTAAGAAATTCAATCTCGGACAGGGGAGTAGCTTATCTTGCCCTGGAAATCACTGCTGGCACACAGGAATTTTGCTTTTCACATGGAAATGAGCAAAATAATAATAATAATAATAAGCATCCCTTGGTAAGTCACATGACCCTAGCAGTTCTCAAGGCAGATCTCTTCTCATAAGGGCGCTGTGTGCAGCCTCTGAAATCTGTGGAGGTCTTTTTCTGCAAATGCAGGAAGAAAGCAGGTGGATGGATAAATAAGCATGGCCTTGCTCCTGGTCTCTTTGCTGGCATTCCTCAGCTTCGGCTCAGGATGTCGTCATCGGATCTGTCACTGCTCTAACAGGGCTTTCCTCTGCCAGGAGAGCAAGGTGACAGAGATTCCCTCCGACCTCCCCAGGAATGTGGTTGAACTGTGAGTATCAGGGGAGCGGGAACAGCTGCATGGCTGGCATGTGTGTATTGCGTACTATTATTATTTTCATACTAGGCTGATATCTGTTGGGCTGAAATATTTCTGCCTTGACTGAAGGCTTGAAGAAAACAAACTTTTTCAGCCCAACACTCCTGCCCTGCGGGTTGTGAGAGTTTGTATCAGCATTTATCAAGAAAGGGCAGTGTGGATGGAAACCTGAATCCAAAGGCAAAGGAAAGAGTTTTTGGTCTTTCCAACACGTTTGCCCATATTTGGGTTCCCTACTCTCTTTAGTGGAACCAGAAAAGTAAAACAGAGCAAAGCAGAAACCTAGGATACCTAGAATTGGAGGCAGAAAGACAGCTTTGATGAAAGCAGAATATATAATGTGTGTCTCCTGAGGACACGGAATTGAAGAATGCCAGAGTCATTGCAGCTTGAAAGTCACCAGCATATATTTCCTGAACTGAGATTCTGCATCCTGGGAGAAAGGCAGGAGGAGGAGAGGGGAGAGGGTTGAAGAAAAAGGAAGAAAGAAAAAAAAAAAAAAAAAAGAAGGGGGGCAGAGAGGGAGGGAAAAATTCAGGACAATCTTTCATACAGCTGGGAAAATGTGATTCTGAGTTTAGGTTTTTGAACTATTTTAACAGGAAATAGACTCTTAAGTGGGACAGGAACTTGGACATCATCTCACACTATGTCTTCATTTTGCAAATCAGGACTCTGGTATCCAAAGAGTAAAGAGAATTGACCAAACTCTCCTCGTCAGTGGAGACAGAGCCAACGCTAGAAATCAGACCTTTGGCTCACAGTCTACTGTTCTTAGGGGGGCAGAGAGGGAGGGAAAAATTCAGGACAATCTTTCATACAGCTGGGAAAATGTGATTCTGAGTTTAGGTTTTTGAACTATTTTAACAGGAAATAGACTCTTAAGTGGGACAGGAACTTGGACATCATCTCACACTATGTCTTCATTTTGCAAATCAGGACTCTGGTATCCAAAGAGTAAAGAGAATTGACCAAACTCTCCTCGTCAGTGGAGACAGAGCCAACGCTAGAAATCAGACCTTTGGCTCACAGTCTACTGTTCTTTCTTGATGCCCCTGGGTCTGACTGCATTAGAGCCACCATGAGGAAGGGCTGTCCAATTGTCCACTTATCACTGCCCCTGAGAAGTGGCAAGTTTTGACTCAGAGATTGTAGCTGCCCTCAGTGTTTTTATTGCAAGGATTTAAAACAGAAGCTGCTAGTCTGGATAAAGGCTTATTTCAAACTTTGTCTTCTAAATCTATTGATGACTTTTATTTTATTGCAAAAGGTAGTCGTGTTTCCAGTTCACCAATTGTCATAATGACACTCAAATGTGTTGGTGTTGCATTTCAGATTTTCACTCAGGGACAAATGGTTGCAAACTGGGTTGGTTCTGCTTGCCACTTTTCCTCTTGTTGTCTCAAGTCTTCATTTCCTATCCAGAGGTATTACAGAGGCAGGGAAAATAACTGGGCAGCTCTGTGTTTTGGCTACACTGCCTCAAATGAGACAACTGGTTATTCTTGTTTATGCTGAAGAATGTGCCTATGCACAATGATAGTCTGGTTTATTAGCTCATTATAAACACATGAGAAGGCCAATGAAACTAAGCTCCTGCAAGAAGTCACTTACTCCTAAGTGACTTTGAGCAATTACTTAACCTCTTCGGGGCCTTAGGTTCCTCATTTCTAAAGTGATTTTAATACCAACTTCTTAGTTGGATTGTTATGAACACTAAAAGCTATAGACTCCTTCTCCCCTCCTGCCCCCAATTTCCACCTCTCCTGGACCCACTTCACTCCTTCCAATGTTTCCCTGTGAGCCAAGCAGTGCTATCCAGCTGCTAAAGCAGACAGCCCTTAACAAGGTTTCATTTTAGGGCAGTACTCCTTTTCCCCCCAAAACTGCCTTCCACACTAGGCTGTCTGCTTTCTGAAATCTCTACCAGGAGAGAGATTATTCATTCTGCATAGAAAACATAGGCAAAAACAAAAAAGAAAGAGAAGGAAGGAAGGAGGGAGGGAGGAAGGGAGGAAAAGGAAATCCACCCCCATGCCCAAACCCTGTGGGAGCATGTGCACATGAATTAGTGTGGGAAGTGCAGGAATATGATTTTTTTAAAATTATAATAAGGTATAAATTACTAAAACATACCTCTGCCCCAAAGCATTTTGCAACTAAAGTAAGCAGAAAGAGAGCATAAATTATTGAGATATTATGGAAGAGATTGAGAGAGTATGATGGCCAGAGCACCAGAAACAAATTTCACACTCTTGACCAAGGCTAGCTCTGGGTCAACCCCTTACCTAAGTGTATGTAACAGTGAACAAATTTGCAAAAAACTAAAAAGGGGGAAAAATTGCTTGCCAGTAATTGATGCTTTCCCATACCTGAGAAAGGAGTATGTTGTTTGAGAGCTTTGGTGACTAAAAAAGTTCTCCCAGATGCCTAATCTTGAGAATATTCTTTTCTATGCACATATTAGTAGGCTTGAGTCGGACCGTCCTAGACTTTGGCTTTGCAATCTTCACAGCAATGTGTATTGAGGAAAAGGAGAGAAGTGTTGCTTTGGCTGTTAGATAAAAGAGAAACATTATTCGAGGATATTTTTAGGCAAATGTGTTAGTCACTGAAGAGCAGATAAAGTGCCAAGTAAGCTAGAACTCAGATGTTCTGTTGGAGTGAAAAAGCAACTATCTCTATTTTTGCATCCTTAAAAGGATTGGATCAGGGTTATCTGGAACATTGGCAGGAGAGAGATGAAATGGCCTGTTCATAAGTATTTCTAATTCACCTTGCAATCTTCCAAGTTTGGGTATTGACTTTAATGATGATCACATCAGGTGTAGGTGAATGGAAAAGCTGGGCTTCATTGACTGCAATTGCTTAATCTGTCAGCATGTGGAAGCTTCGTTGTTACTCAGGTTTACCTGGGGGAAAACAACTTCTAATTTTTATCATGTACATTTTTATCCTATCATCCCAGCCACCTTGCAGCAGTTTCATTTCATTTTATACCAGCTATTGCCAAAGATTGCTAATTCCCCTGATCTGCCCATGCTGGTATTCACCCCAAAAGAACAGAGAAGTACCATAAACAGGCAGGAATATTCCTTTTAGTAAGGGGCTCCTACTATTTGCTTTGTGCTTTATATATACTGTTTTATTAAAGCTTACAACAGAATTGCAAGTTTGATATTATTGCTCTATTTTGCAAATGAGGCAAATCAAAGCTCAGCAAAGTTGAATAACTTGGGTAGAGTCAACAAAACTGTAATGGAAACTGAAATTTGAATTTCATAAATTTTCACATCACAGTAATTACTCTTTTGATTTGTTCAACCTTATAAAAAAGTGAAAAAGATCTTTAGTTCATGCATCATTATAAAACATGGAGCAAGCCAGATTTAGCCCACAGGCTGGATATTACTCACTTCTACCTTAGACTATAGCTGAGAGAGTGGATTAACTATTACAGGTTAAGGTGGGGTTCAGGCATCCTGAGACCACATGGCACCATGGAGATAGAGTTAAACTAGGTGAGCAGAGTCAGGAGTTGGGGCAGTTTTGAGGAAGTATTCACAGGTCAGTCTTTAACTGGTTCTGACAATTCAGGGATGGTAGAGTATAGCATCTAGAATCTGAAGTTTAAACTGTTGAAATAAGTTTAAACCCAGGCTGTGCCATTAAATCTCAGCTCTGTCATCTGGGCTTTTGGCTATATAACGGTAATTACAGCATGTGCCTGACTCATAGAGTTGCTATGGGGATTACATGAGACAATGCATGTAAAACACTTAGCATGATGTCTCTCATGCTATTGTTGTTATTGTTGATAATGATGATTTGGTTCTCATCTGGAAACTACTAGGCTATAACCACTTAACCACAGAGAGCTTTCAAGAGGTACAAGAATGCTCTGGAAAATTGATGTAAAGATTTTTATTACTCTGAAATTGTTTACAATCTCCCACTTGTTTAAGAATAATCTCCTCCCAGCAGCTGTTGTACTTAATCTCCATGCACTTACTTTCTGAGTAAAAAAAATATATTCCTTAAGGCTGTCAATATTTGCTAAGAAATCAAGGAGCATGTTCTTTCTGACCACAGTCAAAGGAATTTTGATTTTGGACTTATCCTAAAACTCAGGTTCACCTGGAGGCAGTCAGTGAATCTAGAAATTTCCCTTTGATCTTGCTTTATTTTTCCCAAAGTTAGAATTCCTAAGGAGAATGCAAATACCCATTCCAAATCTGAAATTCTAAGTTTAAGCGACAGTATAGATACAATCATGTTTTTCTTTGCAGGGTCAGATGACCATAATACTAAAGGACAAAAGTATCCATTGATGGTCATTCTTGGCTTAGAGAGACCTGTACTGGGATTATATTACAGGCTGCCTATATGCAACCCTCTCCTCACAGCAAGTTCCCTTATCTCATTGCAATCTCATTTGACTAGCATATACTTCTAATTATCTAATTATCTTTTTCTCTTTTTATGGCTGATCATTCTCGATCCCCCACAACCATAGATTATTATTCAGTTAGGAGATTTAAAGTGTGTCTAGTTTATTCTTTCCTTAATAGGTCCTTAGTTCTGAGTGATGTATCCTTGCTGTGTGCAAAAAGAGAAGGCCTTGCTGTGCCAATAAATTCTGTGATTTCCAAGAGTGAAATAGAGTTTTTGATGTCTGCAAACATTTGAATTTTAGGTTGTTTTTTTTTTAAAAAAAATGCATCTTTGGGGATTAATATTCTGCAGAACACATTTTGGAAAAGTCTGGTCTATCCAACTCCAGCGGCCAGAACTAATCCCTTCTAAAGGATGGACCACAGCCCAGACCTCCTGATGCCTCATTCAGTGCTCATCTATAGCTAGAGATAGACTAAAAAATGCATCTTTGGGGATTAATATTCTGCAGAACACATTTTGGAAAAGTCTGGTCTATCCAACTCCAGCGGCCAGAA